TCTACCCATAACAGAAGAGCTGAAGCCTGAAGCCGGGGCACAAACATGCAGCAGTTTGGCTAAAGAAGCGGGAGATCTGGAAGACCAGCAAGCGCCGGGAAATAAACACTTGTCACAACCACCTGCACGCAAGGTAAGTTGAAAGAATAGATGTGAAACTTTCCAAAGATTCTACTGAGAGCACGTACTGTATACAGCGATGTGACGGCAGAGATGATAGAATTATATTTTTATAGAACAGAGCAGTGGATATGAAAACCACACTTGATTATAAACACCCTGCTAGTTAGCAACTAAGAGGATTGAGATACAACCACTAATGTGAAAAAACTTACACTACATGTCTGAACATTTTAAATCTGTTTTTTTATAATTAAAAAGTATTTGCAAATCTGTCAGTCAAAGAGTCAAGTCAATTGTATTTGTCTCAATGGACAGTTTGTTTCTTCTTCAGGTTAAATTCAAAATTCAAAATAAAGAAGATAAGTCATGAGATACATTATGTTTTCAACACCAAATGAAGTACGTGTGTGTACACGCAGTATTAATATCTGTGTATTCATAGCTATAGAGTCTCTATAGGGTGGGAGGTGGGGCGGGCTGCACCTGCTGCCTCTCTGACCTCATTACAAGATTTCACAATACAGGATGAAATGTAGTTGTTCAACAGTTATACAGATGAGAAAAAAAAGTAGCAGTAAGATTTACAATACAAAATAATATGAACATGTTGATATTTTTAAAACATCAGTGTGACTATATGCGCCTCATTAAAAGCCAAATTAAATTAAATTAAATTAAATTAAAACAAAGTAGCAGAGTAATAATAATTAGGTAGAAGTGCAAGACACTCATAGTAGAGTAGCAGTAAACAAAGATGTACTTCTTAAGATAACGACATAACAAATGACATAATATGTACAAATCATGTGTGATAAAAAAGTAGTATAAGTTCTTGTATTGCAAAACAAAGATGCAAAAAGTACATGGTTGTAATTACAAATACACATATATTCAAGTTGTGGCAGTTTGTGTTGAACTGCGTGTTATACTAATGACAACTAAAATGTAAACCAGCCAGTTCTCATAATAATGTCACCTCTGGTCCATTTAATATAATAGAAATGAATATTATAGTCATATATAATATGACTATAATATTAATGAAGCTTTAAATCGATTATATATGTAGAATTTGAGTTTTTTTTTCATGTATTTAATTTTCTCCTGGTTGACCACAGAGTCTTCATGTATGTGATTGTCAATAATGATGTCATCCAGGATTTTGCAGATTTTGTTGCATGTGGGTTGAAAACCACAGAAGGTTAGAATTATTTTTACCTGCTGCTGAGCAGCAACTAGGTTTCATTAAATGTGAGGAATTTTCCAGTTCTAGTTCTACACGGAACATTTTGCATTTATTTTTTCAAATATCTCCCAAATTAAGTTAACTTGATAAATTGGTGTGTCAGATGGAAGATGATTTGTTGAAATGTGCCATGTTATGAACTTGTTTTTAAATGAAAAAAATATATATATACTGTACATATTAATAATGTTTACATTATTACATTTATATGTAACATTACTTTAGTGTCTTCATTGACACCTGTTGTCAAGATCTTTCTTATTTCACATAACACTGCTGCGTTAAGCCGTGGCCTCACAGTATCTCAAATATATGTTAAAATTAGAGAACACTGAAATGAAGCAAAACTTTGGCAGATTTCTTTGCTCAAGGCTGCAGTTTGGACGACGTGTAAAAAAGAGCCCCCCCTTCTCTCAGACACTGTTCTCATTAATGTACCTAATGTGATACTGATGATTCCTACAGTATTTGAACAGCCACGGCGTTTCGTGTGCGAGCTTGTTTGTTCTGCGATAACCAACTCTGTGTTCTGTTTTTCTGCCCGTTCCGTTATCGAATTCACAATCACAGGGGAATCACGCAGCCTCATCACTGTACTCGCTGACTGTAATAGCTGTGCAGCCTGGAGGAAACAGAGGATACGTCAAAATGGCAGAGCATTGAATTAGCTGGCTATTTCTGTACCTTGTTGATCAGGGGGGAGCAAATGGGGGGCGGGGGGGGCGTCTTTATATTCCAGAGTCTTTCCAACAGACCAGAAAAATATAGTTTAAAAAATTAATTACATTGGTGTGCATGAGGGTTCCGGCAGCCCTGTAAAAAAAAAAAAATATATATATGAATATATATATATATACATAGTATATATATATATATATATGGTGCTACTCGAATATGCTTAAATATATGCATATATATGTATATTTACACACATATACTGTTAAGCGCTCTTGTAGTAATAGAAGCTCCATTTGTGTAGTTACAAGAAAAGAACTGCAACCACATAGTACTTGTAATACTATGGTTAGTGATGTTACGATAGTTGGAATAGTAGTAGAGTTATTATTAAAAAAGCGAAATTATAATTATAGTAAAGATACAAATTGTACATATGTAGACAGTACAGTAGTATCTGACAGCAGTAGTACATCTGCGAATAGTAGTAGAGTTATTATTAAAAAAAGCGAAACATCTGTAATGACACAATTGAAGAAGTACTAGTAGTAAGACTATAGTAGTACAAGTAACAAGTAGTGGTAATTATAACCACCTTTTGATCTTTGACATCAACTTTGAATTGCCAAGTAAATTATACACAGATAGAACGTTTGTAAAACCTGTGTAGAAAATGTTATCTAGACATCTACGTCTTCTAAGTTAACCAAATATAACAAAATGTTATTTAAAGCTATGAAAACTGAGTGAAAAAAAGTTCAAACTTGTACCAAAGTATTTTTTAAACTTGGCTTAAAGAAAATTTAGCTGCCAGAAAAAATCCAATCCAAAATAGTCATTTATATTAAAACCAACTTTACAAAGAATTAGTACAAAAAATATTCTATCTATCTAATAAATCATATTTCCACAGAGTTCAGCAGAGATAATGTGAATGTTGACATTCCTTTTCTGCTCTTCTGCAGGTTTCCACCGTTGAACCTCAGCCCAGTGCTGACCACTGCAGTGTTCCTCCAGTGACAAACCCGTCCGTTTTGTATGAGCTGGGCTGATTCTGTGAAGCCACGTGTGGTCGTGCCCCCTGAGGCATGAGTGTGGGACGGTCCCACCGTCAGAGCTTAGTGACCTGTGAGGAGGAAGGCCTCAGACTGAGTACCATGCCTGCTGTGGGCAGCTTTGGCAATGGCAAGATTCACACCAGACGCCGATACCATGGACGCTTTGTCAGCAAGACCGGACAGTGCAACATCCATTTCGCCAACATGGATGAGAAGCCACTGCGGTACATGTCTGACATTTTCACCACTTGCGTGGACATCCGCTGGCGATACATGTTCCTGCTCTTCAGTTTGGTTTTTGTGGTGTCCTGGCTGACGTTCGGCTTGGCGTTTTATGTCATCGGTGTCATGCACGGTGATATGGAGCATCACAAAGAGGAAGAAACTTTTATCCCCTGTGTCATACAGGTCAACACCTTTGTGGCAGCCTTCCTGTTCTCCATTGAGACCCAGACGACCATAGGCTACGGTGCCCGCTGTGTGACGGAGGAATGTCCAATCGCCGTCTTCATGGTGGTCTTCCAGTCCATCATGGGCTGCATCATCGATGCCTTCATGATCGGAGCAATCATGGCTAAGATGGCCCGGCCCAAAAAACGTGCCCAGACTTTACTGTTCAGCCAGAACGCCGTCATCGCTTTACGTGATGGAAAGTTGTGTCTGATGTTTCGTGTTGCAAATCTAAGGAAGAGCCACATCGTGGAAGCTCACGTCCGGGCCCAGCTGGTCAAACCACGGTTCACGGAGGAGGGCGAGTACATTCCGCTGGATCAGATGGACATGAATGTCGGCTACGACAAAGGCACAGATCGCCTTTTCCTGGTTGCCCCGCTCACTATCATCCACGAGATTGATGAAGAGAGTCCATTGTTTGGCATCAGCAAGCAGGATCTGGAAATAACTGACTTTGAGATCGTTATTATACTCGAAGGACTGGTGGAGGCCACAGCTATGACCACACAGGCACGCACGTCCTACCTGTCCTCTGAGATTTTGTGGGGTCACCGCTTTGAGCCCGTCATCTTTGAGGAGAAAAGCCAGTACAGGATAGACTACGCCTACTTTCACAAAACATTTGAGGTGCCGTCCACGCCTAGGTGTAGCGCCAAGGAAATGGAGGAAAGAAAATTTTCATCATCTGCAGCAAACTCGTTCTGCTATGAGAACGAACTGGCCTTCAGCAGCAGGGACGAAGAGGACGAGGAGGATGGGGAGAAGGAGCAGGCCAGGAAATATTCAACAGAGCTGGTGAATGAGATTAACTTTCCTCCAGGTGAGCAAATGTCCTCTGGTACAGAATCAGCAATTTAACCTTTTGGTTGTGGCTTGTTTTTCAATCCAGAGCAATACGGTTGTCTTGTGAAGAACCCCATGACTGTCATTCCACTGACATGAGGACACCGCAGAAGACGGGTCTGCTGCAGGCGGAGGACCAGCAGAGACAGAGCTCCATCACACAAGCAAGACTCAAACTCATCACATTTCCCACAGAATGAGATGAAGGTTTTTGCTTCCCTCTGATGGTTAAGGCGCTTTACCGAAATGCAAACAAACATTCTCATGTTTCAATTTGCAAAACCTAGGAATAAAGTGCATGATAGCATTATAGCATAGTTTCGTATGGATATTTCTGAGATATATATTTGAGTGTTGGTACTGGACAGCCTGCAGGGGCCACTCTCGCTTAAAAAGTATGTAATCGTCGGAGTGTGGCATTAAACTGAAACACTTTTAAGGTGGAATGTAAAGCTAATGTGGAAACGTCTCGGAGCCAACGTGGCAGAAACATAGTGGCAGATAGTGGGGGGGTGGGGGTGATGGGGATGTTGTAAAGTACAAAACAATAAGACAGTCTGGATTACAAATACTGTAGCTATGGAGATGCATGAAGAGTTAGACTTGTAACCACCATTAAAATCACAGAGGAACACATCTGTCTTTATACTCGTCGTCTATTACAAGTAGACGAACCTGAAGAAGTGTCGTCTACACTTCGACCATGTCCAACCGAGAAAAAAGAATTTTTTCTCAAATATTTACAATATACAGTATATATACATATATATGTATATATAGTGACATGCATATATACACAGATATATGTACAAATGCATACATATATGTATAAATACATATACACATAGTATAGTACAGCTATGTAGGGACACCTGACAATCAATGAAGCAAACAACTTTTGAGTGTGAAGGATGAAGATCCTCCAGTAAAGATGTCAAAGTTATGCTGCCATACTGAAATGCCACATCCTGTATTGATAATGTCACTGTAGATGTTATTATTAGGTCAAGCAATTAGGTTATTAGGTCACACAGTGTACCGTTGTTTTCCTTACCTCAGGTGTGATTAATTTACTTTTCCCACACACACCATATCTCAGACTAAAAACTCCATGTGGGTTAACTTTTACAACACGCTGCCATGTCAGCAAAAATGCATCACATTTGTATTTATATCTTGCTGACTCGTGCTGAAAATATCCAAAACAGGCTGGCTCCACAAAACAAATGGAAGTCACACTGCTAACTGCCCAGAGAGCAGGAGCAAGGACTTCCTGCATGTACAGAGTGAGTGAAGGACTACACACACACATACATACACACACACACACACACACACACACACACACACACAGACACACACACACTCTCTCCCTCTGTGTTTGACCTTCATTGTAAATAAACAAATATTTTCAGCTTGGGGTTTGAGTCACAGATGTGATATGTTGACATGAAAAGACAGGTGATGTCACATAAATCATTTACAGTCAGTGCTGACATCACAACCTCTCTGGGGAAACTGGAAACACACACAAATTCTTTCTCTCTCTGATCTGAGTGACTTTCACCTGTTCTTTCCGTCTTCCACTAAATGCAGGTTATTGGAGACTCTGAATTGCACTTTAATTTCTCCTTCAGGTTGTTGAGTGGCAATTTCTGAAACGACAGACACGAAAAACAAAAAATAAAAAAAATAACACAGTCATGTCAATAACTAGAATTAAAATATTTCACTAAACCAACTCTTTCCTCTTACTTTCGTGTCAGTCAGATGTTAGGTTTGGGTCAAATATATTTGACACTAATTCAGCCTCTTTCTAAAACAATTGGTTTGCTAATTATAGAACTGCTGATAAACATTAAGAACCAGACCCTGATTAATGACTGCCATCACGTCGAGACAGTATCTGGTTTGAGGACAGGGGTGTATTCTTTCATTCTTATGCAATGGCTGCGTGCAACTCCCTGCAAATGTACACACTCGGACTTGGCAGGGACGCTGGATTTCACAGGCCTGCAACCTTTGAGGCTGGAAAAAAAGGCAATCACATGAGTGCACTCTTGAAACTAAAACCACTGCTGAACGTCCTGTCATTCTGAACAATATTTGGACAACTTGTTTGTGTTACATGATCCTGAATTTCTTTTATGTCTGATCAAAGAGGTCATTGACTTGGAAAAGGGGAACTGTTCCAGTGAAAGTACGTGAGAACTAGAATTATGCCACAGGAACGGGGCAGAAATTTGTACCTTCACAGGCTGTGGTAAACTGTCAACTCCATATGACCAAGACTCAAATGTCCCTGATAAAACCAAAATGTCCACTGTATTATTTTAAAGTGAATGTGTGTAAAAATAAAAGCTGTTGTTTTTGTACGTACTGTCTATTGAACCGTGGAACCGTCTAATCCGATTTAATTGTCACTTAATTAATCACCTTCCTCTGTTACTGTGGCCACAGAATATCCATCATAGTGATATTTAAGGGGATTAACAATTATCTACTCCCTCAGCTTAGAGTTTATCGCAGCCTCTAATTTCCTTCTCCGATCTCAGAGTGTGTCGTATCCTCTCAGATCTGATGTGTGATAAAGGCAGCAAACAATCTGGGATGTTTCTCACCCACTCTCCAGTGTTGGAGGACGGGGAGCCACAGAAGGTCAGCCTTCCAACGTGCAGAGTGGGCTGTTGAAAAGGTAGAGTCGGCCTTAATTGCTGCACTGCTATTCTCTGCTGGTTCACCACAGCTGCGAGGGAGGGAGGGAGAGTGGGTGGGAATAAAAAGGTAACATGATGCAACAGCTGCGTTTGTTTTTTTGTTTTTTTCAGGCACATTAGATCTGTACAGCTGATCAAATGTATCCAGTAGTTTGTAGTCTGTAGCTGCGGTTTCTATTAAAAGCCACATCTACCCAAACTTTCAGACCACCTGTTTTACTTAAGACACACTTTCTGCTTCCACTGCATAAAATTAGTTAGTCTGCAGTTTCTTAATCAAATAATCATCATTATTTTTATCTTGAAAACTTTAGGATTTTAGCTGTGGAGGTGTTACAGTGATGGACACGTTAACACGCGACACAGGAGACCTTCTGATCCATGGTGTCAGAGGTTGACATCATGGATCAGTGGGTGTGGAGTAATAGAGCTTGAAGGTGTAAAAGTAAAAAAGTGATCACCACGTTCTCTTTCTCCATTTAAATACTCACGGTTATCCTTCCAATTTATCTCTGTCAATTGTATTTGTTGTAAAAGGCTTTGAGTCTCAGCGTGACCCCTGAAGTCAGTAAGACTACAACGTGTTATTGATGACATCTGAGTGGTAAAAGCCAGGCAGTTAGTGCCACAGGTTACTGTTCTATGTATGAGAGAAATGGCGTGAGTGGAGAACCTGATTCTCCAGCTGAGCTCGTCACTCAGTCGTACTAACCATCGCAGTCCCCACTCCTGCAGACATCTGCTATTTGATTACAGCAACAGGCTGATTGGATTACAGGAGGCACTGACTTGGATACCTGCAGCCAACACAGTACAGCCGGACAAGTCTCTGTCAGCCTGACATGAACCAGAGAAGAAAGGCAGTCAAAAAAAACGTTATCAAATCATGACTCTAAAACAATGTTACAATCCTCCAAGTCAATTTTTCTCCAGATTTGTCAGGCTAATGGAGTTTGTGTCTGTGAGTAGATAGGGCTGTATCAATCATTTCATCACTACAGATATATCTGTACACCTTGGAATATTACAATATTATATATATTTTTTTGCTGTCGTCTTGTGAGATCGAGGCGTTTGTTCTGTTGTATCGATTCTTTTTTGGCGCGTCATGCTTTTATTTTATTGCCTGGTACAACTTCCGGAAACACCATGAAATAGTGCAGAATCTGTATTGACTTGACAAAATAAACGCGTGAATGGCTGCGGTCCTATAACTCAATGCAGTGTTATTTCAGAAAATATGATGACAAAGAGAACGCGTTTAAATCATAATCTGAGAAAATCACAACGACACTGTATTTTGTCGTGGAGATAAAACATGCAGCACAAAGTGCAACCGGATCTGGGCTTCTCTACAAATCAACGGCTTTGGTCAGTAGGTCTTTCATAAAATGTAATCTCTGAGTATCGCAGAACTCACAATAGCTCTTCTTTGGCGCCCTCGTGTGGCCAATATATGGTACATCAGTAATGGCACGTTATTTCAAGCCATAGGGACTACTCGTTATGCAAAACTTTTGGATAATAAAATTACTACTTTCATTAGAACTATTTGTTTTTAAATATTAAGACACGACATTAAATTACTAAACACATTTTATTACATAAGGGAAAAGTAAAGTTTTGACATTGCGGTCACAACAGTGATATCTGGGGTGGAACTGAAAGAGTCATGCATTCATTAGAGTCTTTCCATAATGCATGAGTTCATGGACTTATTTATTTTCTGGAATTAACTGGGTTGAGCCTGCCCCTCCCTTTCTTCAACACCCCCACACTTCCACCTTCAACAGCTCTCTCTGCAGAGTTTCTCATTTAGCCCCAACCGGCATTGTCTTCTTCACTAGGACTCAGGATGTCTGTGACCAGGCCGGTGCCAATGGTTTTATTTCCATCTCTGAGAGTGAACCTCTGTCCTTTCTCTATAATCATTGGCTGACGCAATGTCAGAATAAGGGACGTGTCCTCTCCTGGCATCACCATGTCCTGAAAGAGGACCAGGGGAATGGATTACATACAGTAATCATAGCACTGACTACGAAAGGTAAAATATAATTTTTCAAACACATTTTTAGCAGCCTGATAATATGAGATAATATACAGATTATAATTACCTTTCCAGAGGGTAGTGTCACTCTGCAGGTCATGTCCCAGGTCAAAGAGAACATGACAGGTGTGTAGTTAGAGACAAAGGGTTTGTGTCTGCCTCCCTCTTCTTTACTCAGAATATACACCTGTGAGCAGAGCCACACAAACATGTCCAGATGTCAATCTATGTGGAGCACAATAATAACGCACACCCAATAGTTCTCTGCATGACTTTATTTCAGTACTTTTTAATTTCCTTTACTCAGAGCATTTCACCCATCTGTTTTATTATTGAACTAGTGTAGAGGTAAAACTAGGCCTGTGTCCTGGTTGGAATTTGTTTAAATAAAAACATTTAAATTCATCTTTACCTGAGACCTGTGAATCTATCTGGAACAATTTTGGGTTTTTACTCGACCTGGGTCTGGATTTTCTGGTGCGGCAAGATGGATCCTGGTTTGCACATCACCATCCCCCTCCTCACATCCTCTCTCTTTAAGCCTCGGACCAAAGCTCCAAGGTTATCTCCTGCCTCTCCTCGGTCCAGGGACTTGTGGAACATCTCAATTCCTAAGGTGACACGAACAATAGACAAGGTTCAGGTCATGTCCACACAACCTCTAAAGACTCTGCAGGACCACACAGCATGTAGTCATTTCAATTTTATTGCAATAATGCAAACAAATACTGTTTCAACAGAGAATTCACAGTAAGGCCACCTCATCCTAACCTGTCTTTTAATCCAATGAACAGCAAACTGGGTAGAGATGAACAACAGTAAAGCTGAATAATAACGTCAAACATTCCGACTGTGACTCAACTGTCACTCACCTGTGATGACAGACTTGAACTGGCGGTTGTGACCCAAAAACTCACAGTCGTCTCCTTTCTTGATCACTCCTCGCTCCATTCTTCCCGTCACCACTGTCCCTCTGCCTGATGGAAACAATGTAAACAATTTATCCGCACTTCTACACTCTACACTTTGTCACTAAGTGACACCCTTAAGTTAATGTCTACTGGTTCCACAACATGCATATTTTAGTTGGTATTCTACCTGGGATGGAGTAAACGCCTTCAACGGGCAGAAGGAAAGGTGTGTCCAGGTCTCTTTTGGGCAGAGGAACGTAAGAATCCACAATCTCAAGCAGTTTCAGCACTGCATTGGCACCAAGGTCAGGGTCTCTGTCCTAAGGTGGAGCAAAAGAAATATATAATTAGACACACTGCTCAGAAGCTAATGTACTGTATCCTCAGAACACTTCACAGAAATCGACACACACACAGAAATCGACAACTATACTAATAATGAGTGTCTCCTGACCTCCAGGGCACAGAGGGCGGAGCCTATAACCACAGGTGTGTTATCGCCGTCGTAGCCGTACTCTGTGAGCAGCTCGCGGATCTCTATCTCTACCAGCTCCACCATCTCCTTGTCATCCACGGCATCAGCCTTGTTAATAAAGACCACCACATGCTCCACACCGATCTGCCTGGCCAGCAGGAGGTGCTCACGGGTCTGGGGCATCTGTCCATCCGTGGCTGCCACTACCAGGATGCAGCCGTCCATCTGAGCTGTGCCTGTAATCATATTCTGAGATCGAGGAAAATGAAGGTCAGATCTAATTTTTTTATGCATTCTTTTTGAAGTGCCTTCTGGTTGAGCAGATCACCTTGACGTAGTCAGCGTGGCCTGGGCAGTCAGTGTGGGCGTAATGTCTGTTGGCTGTGGTGTACTCCACACGGGAGGCATTGATGGTGATGCCTCTGGCCTTCTCCTCGGGTGCGTTGTCAATGTCTTCATACTTTTTGTAGTTGGCTCCACCAGCTTGGGCAAGCACTGAGAAAGGGAGGATGACGAAGTCATTTATCTCATTCCTGAAACATTGAAACTAAAGGGCATGAACATTTCTTTGCAGAAACACTGTACATAAACATTACTCTCCTCTTAAAACATGGAACATCAGTTATTCTACCTTTTGTGATGGCGGCAGTGAGGCTGGTCTTGCCGTGATCGACGTGACCGATTGTTCCGATGTTCACATGTGGCTTGTCTCTGGAGAATGTCTTTTTAGCCTCTGCAGCAAAGGTCCGATGACTTAGTGGCACAGCACACTGCAAAGGCACGTGCATGCGTACGCACACAGGGATTAGATCGTGGTTTTAGCATGATTGTTTGCTGGCTGTCAGTGTGTGCACTCACCAATCGGAAGGAGCTGTGGAGGAGGCTTGGTGAGGAAAGTTGAAGAGCTGAGGGGAAATATATGTAAATATAAGACACACATGAAAGATAAATCACTGGCAGGTAATTCAAACTTATGTATATTGGCTCTATAATAACAAAAGATTGAAATTTTAATTAAAAAACATCTCTATGTCCCTAAATCCTTACTTTGAAAGGTAAACAACAGTGAATTTACACATTGGAAACATTACAAGCTGCTAGTTGTATGTAAATATAAGACACAACCAGACTGAACAATTCAAGCATCAAATCATTCAAGTAAGCAACATCAACAATTCTATTGGTTTCCTGACAGTAAAGTAAAGAACAAGGCCAAACACTTGGCAAAATGTTTAAAAATAATGACAATAAATGTCATCATTTATCCACAAAATGCGCAAATCCATACATACACAAGTAAAGCATGGAATCAAATATGGCACTTCCTTAACTGCAAATTTCAACATATTTTTATGTTACGGAAGTTTAAACGAAATAGGATGTTATTACAATGACCTATGACTCGGCTGTACCTTACAAGACACATGTAAAAGCTTCAATGATGATATCCTGGCATTTATTTTCAGCATTTATACAGACTACTACAACTACTACTATATGCAGATGAGAAGAAACGGCTCCCACGAAGCTGCACTGATCAGTAAACATCACAGCAGGACTGCATGGGATTATAACAAGAATTATTTTCAAAACACTGCAGCTAAAGGCATCTCTAATCTGCAGCCCCCGGCATGACACTATCAATTGAATAAGCAACTGAGAATGGAGGCCGGTAGTGAGGTTTTCTTTAAACTGGGCTCTAATATGACGTATATTTGAAACTGTGGACTTTAGTACAAGTCTATATTGTGAAGAATTTAATGACCCTACATTTATAAACTCTCATCCTCTGCTGCTTGCAACGCTAGCATACACTCATTCGTAACGTGACCTTGCTCTGCTGACGGAAGAGACGCATCCAACTGTTTTAGTACACGTGTAAACAGAAACAAACAAGCCATGCTGATGCGTAGTCAACAAAACAATGATAAATGAGCCAAAAAAGACAAACAAAGACTTAAAGAGACAAATTTAAATAAAGATTAATTGATTTTACCAGAGAAACATGCGCGCAACCTCACAAGCGCCGCCATCTTCTTTTGCTGGGCAAATCAAAGACGATGCTAATGTCAAGATAGTTGACTGTCATTTATGAAGTAATAGACTATAGATCGTCTCAGTAAAGAGGTAAATAACGACAATAATAATAAAAAAACGCTAGATGCCGATACTACAGGTGGACATTGTAACATAAGAAGTTAAAATAAAAGGTCGATGTTGAGAAATTAATAATGTGGACATTATTCGACATAAAAAGATGCCTTTAACTGTAACGTGTAAATAAAAAGGACCATGAAACGTTATTATGTTTTATTATGGTTATTAGACGTTTGAAATTTGATAGTACTGACAACCATCAAAAAAGATCAAATTATATTCCTTAGTCAAACATATAATAGGGGTAATGGGAAAAAAATCACATTACAGACTAATCATAACCATTGTGTGTTTTTTAATCCTCTACCAAAAAACTTTTTTGCGGTTTATTGACAGTATGGAAGTCATCATATCGACAGTATGGAAGTCATCATATTTCATTTTAATATCGTTTAGTAACGTTTTAAGATCTAACATCTTGTTTTAACTGTTACTCTCTGAATGCAGCACGTACACCGTTAACACTTACCGTAAACATAAAAATATGTACGCATTTTATGTTTTTGTGTTTAAACAACAAACGTAGAACTTGTTTTAGTTGAATTTTTGGAAATTATTTGTATTCATTAAACCGCTGTAAAGTGTATGAAGAGTTAAAAATGTAAAATGAAAAGGGCGAGGAGAAATATATTTGTTGTTGCCTGTTTGATTCAAGAATTATGGTAAACATGGCAGCCCCCTGGCCACTCGTGAGAACAGCTAACTAGAATGTTCTGGTACATTCATGTATTTGCTATCTAAGGCGGCGGAAAGTAGCTGTCCGTCCATAAATAAACAGATCGTCCGCTTTGAGTCACGCATTTATAGAAGGTAAGTTTAACTCCGTTTTTGGATATCGACAGCTGTTGTAAAGTGTGTAATGTGGGGTTTATTACGACAGTTGGCTAATAACAAACACTAGTAGTAATGCTGCATGTGTTGCTAATTTTGCTGAAGTTCTCATTTGGACTTATAGCTGGAGATATTGAGAGTGATTTAATTATTATTACGTTCAACTGATTTTCTTTCTTAAGTTACGCACATCATGGCTGACAACAGACAGACTAGGAGGTATCCTCACAATCTTCAGGGAGTCCTGCAGCTTGCGGTAGAGGCAGGATCAGCAGCTGAGGGACCAGCTCCTTCGGAGCCAATGTCAGAAGAGGTAAGTAAAACCGAAATTAATAAAACAATTAAAGGTCCTCAAAAGGCCTTGAAAATGCTTATGTGTTTAACACTGACATGTAAAGGTATGTGAAATTCTCGGCCAATCACAGTTTAAACTTTATAGTTGTCTTGATCTCCTTGGGGTCTGCAGGCAGTTTTATAACGAGACACTGGGTGTCTGTTGTTTCTGGGTAATTTGTTTTCTAGAGGATTGCTTTTAGTGTGAGGTTGGTGTGATGCAATAAAACCGTTTTAATCTTTTTTCAGAGAAAAGCATGGCTGAGGGAAGCTCTTGTAGATGCTTGCAAAGGCCAGATGGATGAAGTGGAGCAGATGAAGAGATGCTTGGAAATTCTGCGTGAAGAGGAAACAAGTGAAAGTGAGAGGGATGAAGATGAGGATGACAGAGAATCTGTATTTGAAACACTGTCGGAGTTGTGTGAAAACCTGGACAATGCCAGAGGTCTGCAACAATGTTGTTTTTAGAGCAGGAAAACAAAGATGTAAAGTTTTTTCCCCATACTGACTGTGACTCCTCTACCTCAGACCTTATGACTCTGGGCGGTTTGGAGCTGTGTGTCTCCCGATATCTTAGTCATGTCCAGAGTGGGCTCAGGTGGCGAGCTGCTGAGCTGATTGCGTCCTGTGCTCAGAACATGCCACAGGTCCAGGTCTACTTACTCGACCTGGGGACACTGCCAAAGCTACTACATCTGACAGACACGGATCCCAACCCCACTGTTAAAGTCAAAGCACTTTATGCTGTTTCATGTGAGTTTCTCATTAATTTCTTTTAGCAGATTGCAACATTATTTGTGTTATAACTTACTCTTTCCTGTTATCTGTAGGTCTGGTCCGAGAACTAGAGAAGGGACTAAAAGCGTTTTTATCCCATGATGGGTTCTCTGTACTAATGCGAGGCATGCAGA